AACATCGAAATTTTCACACTTTTTTCAATTTTTTGTAAAAACCTCACGAAAGGAGTATCCTGACGAGAAAAGTTATTGTTACATTTTTTTAAGTAGATAAAATTTCCTACAATTTGAGGTGTATATATATACGAAATATAATATATATAATATATATAATAAATATATATACGAAAATGATATACCGTTAATTAAAAGTCGATATCAAAAGTGTAAGGGCAGTTTTCAGACTAGTTTCAAAATCAGCAGGCACTCTACACTTCCCAATTTTCAATCAATCAACTCGAATTTCTTTTTATGAAATAATCGTGTTTTTCTAATAAAATATGTAGGATTAATGTATTATATTAATATTTGTATTCTTTATGCAACTTTAAGTATCGCAAACAATTTTAGACTAAATTTGTATGTTTTACTTTGGAACGATGCCATTTTATTAAAAATGTACATTTTTAAAAACGGTTATGTATTTCACTAGCTTTTAGACTAAGGAAAACAATTAATTTTGTTTCACAATTCTAGTTTGAACCTGGTTTGAGTTATTGTTCCTACCCCAAAACCATTTATTTGTTAGACGCTTCACTAAATCATCTGTCAAGTCATTTTTGTAAAAATGAAAAAAAAAATGATTTTCTAGTTCAATACTTATACAATACATTAATGTACTTCAATATAAATAAAATCTTGGTATCACTTCAATAAGAATTCTTGAAAAAGCCTGTAACCCCTTAACGTTTTCATTCTCCACCATGGACAAATAATAAAATTCAATAAATGAGTACCGCTGCTCAAACACATACAATCCAACCAGTTTGTCACCCGGTACATCTTGCTACCACATACATGGGCTCTTTATCCATTTTATGCTTAATGATTTCAACGATTTCTATTGTTCAATCTATGCAAGAAAATCATCGTTCGTTTCTTGTATATATTTTTGTTTGGCCATGGGTTTCTCAACTATAATAAATGCGAGAAACAAAAGGCACTTTATACAAGTTTGTTTACATAGTATACTGTATCCATTCATAAGAACACTTAACCCATTAAGGATCAAGCAGAGAATGCGATTTTTACACAAAGAATTATTTAAAGAAGAACACAAAATCTTTAGGTGATGTTTCATTTCGACTTTGAGAAAAATTTTAAATGCGTTACCACTATTTTGGTTGAACAAACAAATTTAATATTCATTGACGTAAGCCTTTGTTATAAATGTTTTCAATTACGTCACTGATTATCTTTAGGTATGATATAATTAATAATTAATATTTTTTCAAACATATTTCAACTTTTTGGTTTTCTTTCATCTGCTGTAACATGTCTTATATGGTTATAATGTACTCTATCGGTAGTGCAGTTTCGAATGACAGTCATAATTCAAATATTTTCTCTCTCTTGGTTACCAACTTCTTTGCTAGGTGCCTCTTTGTTTATCATTTCAAGACCATTTTGGTACAGTTTAGACTTCTACTTTGATTGTAACTAAGATGAAAATTGCAACTGTAACATGTGCGCTGCCTTCACGAATTATATATTTTCCATGAATCCTCGATGAGACAATCAATCAAATTTATATACAAAGGCCACCATCATTTATGTCCTCTTACACGAACTTTGCAATTTGTAATATCATTGTCAGGTAAATCAACTCTCTTGTGTTTTGACTACATTTTAAAATGAGTCATATGGTGAACTGTTTCTTTTCTTTTCTCCTAAATCATTTAACAGTTATTAATAGTCATATGCTATAGATGATAACCTGTAAAATTCTCATTTTGTTTGATTGTTGCGATTCTAGTTCTTCAAAAGCAAAATCGAATCGTTTCTTTCCTTTTCTTCTTCGGAGTTAAAACAGAGACGAACGTAGGCCGAGGTTTTAAAAGTATTTATCACATACATCTATTATGCACTATAATAAAGTTAACGGATAGATCTAGAATGCAAAAACAATCACTGCAGTTGCAATTTTTTATTCAGAAGTTGTTTGCTACTATATCTGTTAATTTAAAGTTATTAAAAGATGTAAATAAAATAACTTACTATTTTGTCAAGGTAAAACGAAAAATATAGTAATAGATGCTTTATATAAGTTTGCTAAACATATCCGTCTAAAAGAAATTTTAAACGATGTAAAAGAAATCAGCATTATAAATACTCCCATTCGTTATACCTTTACAAAATTCTATTAACAAGATGAAAGGAACAAATATTAACGATTATTAAGCAAATCCTTGTGTTTCTCGTTTCATAACCACAATGTTGAATAATAGAATTAAATACTGCCAAGCGACAGAGAAAAAATTACAAATGAAACGTATTAACACAACACCGACCTTAACAAGTCAAGATTCCTGCAAGTAGAAAAGACTAGTGTTTTACATGAAATATTTGTGACGTGTTTCTGTATTCAGATATATACAGAGGCAATCGAGAAGTACGTGAGGTATGTTTTTGATGAACATCAGCTGCACGTGAAAGTCCAAGAATATAGATCAGTTTGATTGGTAGTTGCAAGAGTTTCGGGATTAAAATTGTAAAATAAAATGAAATGTAAAACTGTTTGGTACCTTGGGATTGCCGTTGCTAAGCCATGGTATGATGTTGTCGATAAATAGTCCGATGTCTTGACATTCGATGCTCTTGCTCTCGTCGCCCAAATAATTAAGCAGCAAATAACCAACGTTCAACTTTTTCTTGATATCCGTCGTTGACAGGAGCGGCATAAAACCGTCCATATCACGCGGATTCACCGCCATGGTGGGCCTCTGAACGCACGTCGTTGGTTGTGTCCGCGCACCGTTCACGAGCCTTTCAACGGAAACTAGATTTCACCCGCTACACACTGCTCGGGACATATAGTTTGCCCATGAGTTTCACGATGCACAAGAACGAAACGAAACGCGTCTCATTTCGTCATACCAACGAATGGGGTTTCACACTAGGAACACGGTGTGCGGTGGAACGAAACTGTCCATGCAATTTAAAAACCATACGCAAACAGAGTGTGCCTCTTTTTCTCTTTCTCTTGGTCGTTTCGCGATCGTTGCTTGGGCGAGACACGTTACGATTATCGAATTAGACTCTTCAACTGTTTTCTCGCACGAGATTTAGTTAAACGTTGTGCGATAAAATATCAAACACGGCTCGCGTTTTATCACAATTACGCACGATAAATAATAATGAACACACGAACGTAACGAATATTATCGGCACCGTGTACGCGACACTATTCTCATTTCTCGATCGTCCGTCTCTTTCCCTCTTTTGCAATCGCGACGCCAGTTAGTTTCAGCGGACGTCGTGTGAATCACGGAACCTTCTGCTAGACTCATCCGGCAAAATCGTTTCAAATTTGTCTACATATTTCTTTACTATTATCATCTGTTCATGTTCAATACAGCTTGATTACATTCTATGTACTATTCTCTATTGACACTCAGATTTTCATATCCTTGAGTTATTCTGTACATTCATTCTAGTACGTCTGAGAATCATACAACTACATGTTCAAAGCATTGCTTTCTTAAAAACTCAAATTAATTCTACTACATTTGTACGATAAAATCAAACAATATATAATCCTCTTATTTTACAGGTCCCTGGCAACAGCAAATCTGGATTAAGAGATGGTACATAAACATGCCCAAAATAAAAAAAAACAGTTATGTTCCAGTATCAGTAATGAAAAGTTGAAAAGCGTGATAGAGAGTTCCTTTGTAGAATAAGATATATTGAAATGTTAAATAAAAACTGCAAATGTAACTAGAATATAAAGATAACGAATACTAACATTATTGTAGTAAAATAAGCAGGCAATAATGTTTGAGCATTAGTTAAGAATGCCAGTTAAAAAAAAATACCTAGCTGAAAATGTAGCGCTTTATTTTATAAGAGATCTGATTATATTTACTATAAAACATTGATGTATATTTTATTATATTATACACCAAACATGTAAAACTATGTATTACGACACGTGTAAACAGCCCATATGAACTAACACTTTGATAAAGAAAAATGAAATGAAAAAAAATTCTCTTATCGAATTTATCGTGTATTATATACCAAATCGTATCGTGTATACCTACAATGACAAAAGACAAAAGGTTATAAGTTTCACTAATCCGTGATAAATACATAATTCTCTTGAATTGTAAGTTGTTGCGGAACGCGTCGTGCGGTGATAGGGAATTTTCTGACGTGGGTAAGGTGCCCGTGGAGCGCTGAACCGCTCTGCCCGGAGAGGCGCGTGAAATAAAATTCGAAATACTTTTAAGAAAAAGCAAAGACGTTTATTCGGTCGACTCGTTTGGTTTAAAAATCGTTTCGTAGTTCGTTCCCAGAGGTTCGATTACGATTGATCTCTCTGGAAAAATCTTCGCTCGATCTGCTGCTTCTCTCCCTTCTCCGGAAGATCCCCGATCCTCCCTTTGGGTTGTCTTGGTCCAAACGGGGGTTGCGCCCTACTCCTTCTACCGGTGATCTTCATCGATCTCGGATCCACCCCCGAGTCGGGTGGAGGTGGGAGTCGCGCGGCCATGTTTGTGCAGGGCTACATGTGAAAAAGGAAAGCGCGGAGGTCTAGAGAGAGAAAAAACGCGCCAGCGAGACACAGCAACCCTTAAGGAAATTTATTACCCTCTTGAAGAAGTCGCCGGAACGCGAACCGAGGTACAGCGCGAGTTTGTTATTTTCAAGGATCCTACGAGCTGGAACAAAAGCTAACTCGACTCAAATTCTAAAGAAATGCATTCCAACGGAAACGGCGATTCGACGTGCCCTATAATGAATCTATTAAGTATTTTCAACGAACGTTCCTTTTTCTCTCCTGACTTTCGACTTTCCCACGCTTGATCACCCACGTCGAATGTTTTAACAATGTACGTGGCGGTTCGTTGATTCAAAGCGTTAATCCGTTTGAATTCCGCTCCTAATTTGAATATAAATATATACTACATGCGGTAGTGTTTAAGCTATTCCGCGTTGTGGCGCTACATGCCATGAAGCTAAGTTCACGTGATAGCGTAACAAAGTGTTTGTTGATTAGACAATGCATTTTTATATACGTGCAATTGTTTTTGTTACTTCCTTAGATATGTTTGTGTACATATCTAGAGACGCGGTAGCGTCACGACGCCAAATAAAAATTATAAGCCACCGCGTATATTATAACGTGGCGCTACCGTGTATCCTTTCCTCGTAAAACTGGAATTCCAACCTAACCTGAAACTTCTTTCATGAATATCTCAACACGCCTGTAATATTTTCTAAATTTAAAGGCATTTTTCTCATGTAAACCGCATATAAGCTTTCGAATAAAACCAAAATCAATAAAATCGGTCCACGAACAACTGAGATATCGTAATGTCATGTCATAAATCTGTCAGAAACGGCATTTTTCGTATAATTTTCCTGTCGCCAACCCTTAGCCAATAGGAGCTAAGCAAAAGCCGAGTGTCATTCGTCGACTCTCGAAATCATCCGGTTCGGCATGGCTCGTCGGCCATCGAGCGTCGAGAGTCGAAACAGATGTCATCACTCATAACCTGTCAAGTGTCAAAAGTTTTTACACTATTGCATTATTAATTATATTTATATCAACAAAATGTTTTCAATTTAGACTTTTTATGTAGGGTTTAATAACAAATTACAGCCAGTGTTGTAAAGTGTTGATCGATCTTAATTACAAGGTAAATTGTCAAAAGTCTGAATTGCGAGACACCTTTATTCATACAGAAAACTGTTTTTAATATAGATCCATACCACCAAAGTATTTTGAATTTAAGCTTTTTATGTAGAGCTTGTGGAAATGAAGGGGGCCCACAGGATTGGAGATTAACAAATTGCTGCTAGTAAAGTAAAATGTAGATCAATTTTCATTACAAGGTAAGTTGTCAAAATCTGAATTGTCAGGTACCTTACAGAATAGATCCATACCACTAGTGTTTTTAATTTAGACTTTTTATGTAGAGCTTATAGAAATGGAGTCATTTTCTCATTTCATCATCAACATTAAAATTTTTTGCAGCAAGACAAAAAATTGCAGGTATATATAATTATTTATAAATTGAACGAATAAGTGTTTATAATTAATAAATTATATGAAATATATGTATATATATTCGCTTTTGTTATCCCCTCTCCCTTTATTTTACTCTATTCAATTAAAGAAACAAATAATAATTTAGACTTCTTATGTAGAGTTTACAGAAATATCAATTTTATTTTTATAAATTTAAAATAGATTCTATATAATAAATTATTTGTGGAAAGAAGTGAGAACCGATAAAAAAACTTCAAAAAAGTAAAAAAATTATGCTAAGTACATGAAAAAGTGGAGGACTCAAGGAGTTATCATTGAAAAATAGAAGATCCCCATAAAAAACTACAAGAAAATGGAAAAAGATATGAAATCAAAATGAGCTGCCAGTACATGAAGGTCCTTTCCAGTAAAGTGCAAGGTGACACTGTGTAACATAATATCAAATTCGGTGCTTTCCAACTATGCGCAGCTAAAATGCTGTGTTCAACAGTGCAGACGTTCAGACCCTAATGACAACTCATGTAAACTGACTGCTCCGCACTTTGGCGGTGAAATGAAAAAGCTAAATAGTGTATCAACCACAAACTGAGACTGTTTAGACATTTGCCTAAATGTCCGTGGCTTGGAAGTCAAATGCTTGGCGTGGGCAGGCAAAGCATTCTCAGGTCATCGGTACACATACTTTCTCTCTCGCATACTTTCTCATAATTTGTCAATTTAAAACTTTGACAATATGAGTACATTTTCATTACATTGCGTTTTAAAATAATTCTTATTCAGTGATACCTCAACCTTGGCTTGCCATGCCAAGTGTTTGACTTCTAGACCATGGACATCTAGGGAAATTTCTAAACAGTCTCAGTTCGTGGCTGATACGGTATTTAGCCCTCCTTTCACCACCCAAAGTGTGGAGCAGTCATTTTACATAAGATTTCATTAGAGTCTGAATATCAGCACTGTTGAACACAGCATTTTAGCTGCTCATAGTTGGAAAGCTCTGAATTTTACATTGTGTTACACAGTGTCGCCTTTGCACTTTGCTGAAAAGCACCTTTATGTACTGGTCTACAGCTCATTTCAATTTCACATCTTTTTCTACTTTCTTGTAGTTTTTTATGGAGATCTTCAATTTTTTTGTGATTACTTATTTTCGTCTTCCACTTTTTCATGTATACATACGATCTGTCCCAAAAATGTTGGAGGTCCTTGAAAGGGTGGTTCGGGCGTGATTTGAAACAAGTTTCTCCTTAGCGAAAATGTTAAATGTGTTCACTTTGGGACAAAAGTAGCAAACAATAAAGTGACAAAATTTTACGTGAAAAATCATGGATCGAAATTGGCGAAATATTTTACGATAATTGGGTACAATTTGATACAAATGAAAAAGACGAAAAAGGTACATCATTCTATTTTTTTAATATCAATGATTCATTTGTCATTTAATACATATAACGATATTGAAAATGAGCTGCTCCAGGTCCAATGAAATAATCGGCAATATAATCACAAACTTCTAATCCTTGTCCGCGTGGAACTTGTCCGAACTCGTTAATATCCGCGAAGAGATAGGTTTCAGCATCCTTAAAATTAATTCCATTTCTTTTGCGAACAAAAGTGCAAAATCCAACAAGCCTTTACTATGATATCTATGAAATTTAGTTGTACAAGAATTGAGGAATGAAAAATTCGCCATTTGTTCACAAAAATTCCGAAAGTGCACTCTACAGTTCTTCTACATCTCGACAATCGATAATTAAATACTCTTTTATGTGGATCTAAATTACGAGCTGGGAATGGTCGTAAAATGTTATTGGAAATTTTAAATGCTTCATCTCCAACCACCACAAATGGTTGGGAATCTTTAACAGTATTTGGTAAATTACAAGGTGGAGGTATATTTAAATTGTCCGAATATAATTTCTTTCCCAGCGGACTATCTCGAAATACAGTAGAGTCTCCTTCTTTTCCATAAGCTTCCATGTCAATGGCAATACAATTTAAATTAGCATCAGCTACTGCCATCAATACAATAGAAAAGTATTTTCTATAATTAATAAAATTTGATCCGCCCTTTATGGGATTAATACATCTGACATGCTCCTCATCTACTGCACCAATCCAGTTGGGAAAATTGGTCTGCATATAAAATTTTTCTGCAATGTCTAACCACATCTCGACAGTAGGTTCCGGCATTTCCGTTTCTTTGAAGTGAATCCAAATTGCTTTACAAGTTTCTTGAATGATTAACCCGATTGTTGATTTTGCAATCAAGAATTCAAATTGCAAAGCAGAGAAACTATTTCCAGTAGATAAATACCTAAAAAAAAGTGTCTATGATGATTTATCAGAATTAATCATATGAATGCTGAAAGTGTTTTCAATGTAATCCTACAGTATATGCTTTAATTTTTGTAGTTATTTGTGTAGATTACAAATTAATATACATATAATAATGCATATATCTGTCAAAGTATTAAAAACTTGTATAAAAATGTACATGTCTTCATCAAAGAATTTATTGATTTTCTTATAGTGAAGGAAATTAAAAACAAATGGCGCCATATAAGAGACAATTTTTTGAAGTTTATCAATAAAGAGTTCTGTTTATCAACAGAATAAAAATGTCCACTAAGTCCGAATAAATTCGTACACTAGACCTTATTTTCAACCTCCCATGGCTGTCAACCACACACAAATTGATGGAAGCTACCTGGTGAATCCATCACTCCACTTCCAGTCACCGCCATCATCTTCATCATCATCTATGACGCAAAGACCATACCCGACACAAACAACCTCTCCATTCATAATGCAATCGTTATCTCAAATACAGGCCTCACAGTATTGTTTACAACCTTACGATAATGACTTTTGACATTACAGCGTCTGGAATCAATCATTTCCTCCATATGCGTTAAGTGCATATTGTGAATATTTGCTTTATATTCTTTATATATTATAAAAAGATAATAATTTTTTATATATTACAAGATGTAATAAAAAATAAATTATTATATGAATATATAAATAACGATTATATGCATTACGATATTGTTACGACCACAGGTATCAGTAAACAATGTCTGGCTTTTAAAATAAAGCTACGCAAGAAATTAAATTTATTAAAATAAAGTTACTGCATTCGATATCATAGACATATTTTTAAACAACTATTAGATGTGGAACATTGAAAACACGAAGGAGATTGCATAAAATACTCTTTTCCACTATATGTTTGCAACCGTATTTTAATGAAGATGATATATACATAGTTACAGTTACATTTACAATATAATGTATTTACAATCATTATTATAATTATACGCTCGCATTATATTCAACGCTGTTATCGTCATAGTTTGGCCAAGAAAATATCTAGTAAAATATTTAGGAGCATGGCCAGTTTCAACTGGCATTGAATATAACGTGATTATGTCAAATTTCGACGGCAATGGTTTCATAGTTTAATATACTTTATTTATAATATAGAGTTGAAGAACTTCGCGCGAAAAATCTTGTTCGGTCATATGATTTATATAAAATCACGCAACTGTATCACATTGGCATTCCTTCTGTTAAACAATTGAGACGGTTAAAATCAATTATTATCGAATTTTTTAAAGAAAATGTAAAAATGATAATTCTAAAAAAATATTTTTTGTTACAAGGTATAAATTTCTGTGACTTTTGTACAATTTATGTATGTATATGTATACATATATATTCATATAAGGAAATATTTTAAAATCTTAAAAAAAAAAAAAGAAATATACTATGCTATCACATTTTCCACTTTAAATTAGTTGCTGATGCATCGATATACAAATGAACTCACTTGATCATATAAAACTATTAAAAATTCTCATTTTATTTCTTTGCTATCAAATTGCACTTCATTTATCTTTGGTATAGATTTCTATATACGTAATGAAAGAAGCCATATATTTATTTGATTTGAGACTTTTTCACACAAAAATTTTTCGATATCTTATTCCAAATATTGTCAAACGTAAATTTACTTACAGAAAATTATATGATAAAAATAAATAATATCTGCATGTGTATATATGTATATATTACTCTTTTTAAATGGCATATAACATGCATCTTTCGTTTGAACAGTTTTGTTTCTGTAATTAGACAACCCAACTCAACATCTAAAAGTGCTAACGTAATTATGCAGTGTTACAATACTCTAAAAATGATATAAAATTAAAAATAAGTTATGAATTATCCGAAGAATTAAATGTTCGTCAATTATCGATGTTAAAGCTGATTTATAGTTGGATTGTTTAAATTCACGTATGATAATTACTTGAATATATTAATTATATTTGAAATACTATCTTGACAACTACAAGGTCCTTAATCGATAAATATTATCTATATATCTCATTAAAGTTAAGGAAAGATTTGTTCAAAATGTTTTGCTGAGCTTGGCAGATGAACACTATTACAATTGGTAAGTATATTAACGCTTGGTATGTGAAATAGTACATTTGTCGAAGCCGCCAATTGTCTATTTAGAATAATGTTACCTTACTTAAACAATTTCTATTTAGCAATTCGAAGAAGAGCATATAACTTCATCAAGATTATAATATCTATTATACTTATAATTTTCGACTGGGATTGCTCTTGCACTCACAGCAATATAAAAACGAATTGCTTATATAGTTGTACTTTTAACATAGACAAACAAAAAAGTTTTTAAATAGTGAAATGTTAGTAATCCATGGAAAAATTCGATTTTTTATTATTCTTACGTAGTAATGAGTACGATAGGTACGAGTGAGATGAATAAATAATCATTTTCTACGAATAGTACGACTATCTAAGATTCTCTAGGTATTGCTTCTCTTACCGAGTAAGTCTTCCACTGTATACTAGATACAATGTGTCAAATGAATTTAGTGGAATGGTATATACTGTCCTACGCAACAATTAAAATGTTTTTATGAATATATGGACCAAAAGACTTGTTAGGCTTCAAAATACATCTAACACATTGATTAAAATCACATATTTATATATTGTATTAAAAGTTTCTACTAACATTAAATATGTACAAATCATCTCTAGTTCAATTGGAGCGTAATTATAATGTATGGAAATTTGTCTTAACGTTACAAATGATGTTGACACTGGATCGATCAAATGATTTATATCCAAATGTTAAATCTTTCTTTTCTACGCAAGTAATAAATGTGCAGAAACTAATTGCATAATAAATTTAATTATAAATAAAGCTATACCTTAACTAATTCGTTCCTTTATCGTAGTTTTTGAACACTTCCTATTGTTGTATAGTATCAATTCAATGGAATCAATATCGTCGAAAACAGGAGTACTATTGTTGTTGTTGTAATTGTTGTAGCAATGGGCATACCTCGACTAGAGGAGTTCCTAAGATTTCTTGGCATACTTGATTCATATCAGGTTCCATCATTAGCGAAGAAATTTGATCCTCCGTTAACATTTCCACACTACTTTTTACACAGTTGAATAAATAAAACAAAAGTAAAGCGATTCATGTGTTTAAATATTTGGAAAAAAAAGATACCTTGCCAAGCTTTCACTATCTGACGTCTCTTCATCAACATATAGATAAGTTAGTGTTTTTTCTAGCGGGCTTGGAACTTTTTTTCCTTTTCCCTCTACTTTCTCGGATTTTTCAAACTTCTCCTTATCTCTCTCGACAGTTTTTGGTTCGCTAGAATGTCGCTCCGTCAGGCTAGATATGTTCAGCATCATCATCCCATGATTGAGTAATTCTTTAACGCGCTCTCCAGTTCCAGCACTCCACAACATGTCAAGAGATTGTCTTCTACTTGAATTTGCTATGACATTATAATAATTAATGTTATATGTAGTGGTACTTGAAATCACAATGCATGTTATAAATTAGTAGTTAAAGCTACTTACCTGTACTATCTGCACTGATATCACTACCAGCTGAACTCCGAGTTATCCAGTTAGCCAAACTAGTATCGAGCTTACTCTTACTTTTTGTCGACGGACTCCTTGTGACTTCCGCCTTCTTTTCAGCACTCAAAGTAACTTCATTTCCTTTTGGCATAGCAGGTAGCGATTTTTGAGTTACTAATTTTCTTCGACTAGACCCTTCACCGAATGGTTCAATGCTTGCGCTACTAAACGTTGGATTACTACTTTCTGGACTTAGATCCATCGGCAACGGTTTATAAGGAATTTGATCCTCTTCATCCGAATACACTACATTATTGTAGTAAACTTCATCAGGGGAATTGTTTAAACTAATTTCTGTCCACTCTTCTCCATTTTGTATGGTAGTATTACTATTATTTGTTTCAACCGGCGTTTTAATTGTCACTCGTTTTTCTATAGGCGAAATAATACTCGAATGGTCTGACAATCGTGACGTTGAAGAACTTGTTTGATTTAATGATATGATATGTTTTGTGTCTGTTGTCGCAATGCTTTTCGGACGGTCTCGCTTTATGTACTTCCGAGGTTCCGTGGATGAGAGATTCAAGTTGTTTAGGCCCAAAAATTCAGAAGAAGGTTCTCTGTTAATCTTGATAGTGACACAAGTAATGTTTTGTTAAATTTCTTTTATACTTTTATATTTTTATTAAACTACAGAACGTTAAAAAAAAACTATTCGATATTTATACGATAGATAATACACACTGCATTAGGTAAAAAGACCTTGACAAACAGATGGAAAGCACAATTGTTTCTGAGATAGAAACATTCTTTTATGTTAGTATCATAATTGACTTCTAAATACATAGAAATATAGCTAGTAAGTTTGTAAGCAAATCATGATGCTAATATAAAAAAAATGTTTATATCTGAGAAATAGTTGAGTTTTCAACCTGTGTTTACCAAATTTTTTCACTATGGTATGTACTGCCTACCACTAAAATACTGAATGTTTCTTTTTTGAACACACTGTATAAACAAGATAAAATAATTACTCTTGTAAGCACAGGACATGATGTATTAGGACTCAATTTATCAGGAAGGCGTAAATATTCATCGCTAGTATAATCTGTACTATCAGGTGACCCAGTCAGGCTAGAGTCTGTTGAATTTGTTACATTAGGATTTGTAACAGACTGATCAACCGTGTTTCTCGAATGTTTATCGAATTCATCCGTTCCATCGTATCTTCTAGTCTGCAGAGAAAAGTTTAATAATAATTATGAACTACATCAGGTTACATATTATGCAGTTTCAAAAGTAAGTGAAAACTAATAGTACCCTATGAATTTCATCGCTAATTTTTTCTAAATTTCTCAGTGCTTCTGCATAGGTCATTTTAGCTTCACCCACTGATCTCTCTAGCGCGCTTACTCTTAATTTTTGCTCTTCCAACATTTGATTAAAGTGCGCTTTCATTTCATAGTATGGCCTGTATAATAAATGGTTTATTAATAATTAACTTTCTAAAAAAGTCTAAAGCACATATCATATTTGTTCTTCAAAGAAAGCATACTACTTTTAACATTTTCGTGTTATATCGTATGCTATAAAGTATATCGTAAGAAGCATTCTTGAATAAAGCAGAACTTATGTATATGAGTATGTATTTGTTAAATATTTCGTAAACTCGTTAAATAACTGGTGTGCAAAGAGGGTAATAGTTCGAAGAAATCTGTAGAAAGGAGTTATACAGAAAACATACACAACGTGAGTATTGTGTAAAAAAAAATAAAAAAAGAAGATCTATCCTACTTACAACATGAGCAAGTTGTGCCTGTAGGCGATACTGTTTATCAGAAGCAAGCTGCGACGTGCACCCATACTGCCAACATGAATAT